AGGTTATATGTAGATCCCTGTAATCATTTCCCCCTTTCTACCTGACACTCCTTCCACCCTTCCAGTATGGCCACTCTCACCACTGGTTCTGAAAGGATCATCCATCCTGGATTCCCTGTGTTTCCAGTTCCTATCTGTACCAGTGTACATTCTCTGGTCTAGCCAGATTTGTAGGTAGAATTGAGATCTTGATAGACGGGCGGGGGCTGGTGGGAGAGGGAGCATTTAGGAACTGGAGGAAAGTTGTATGTTTCATCGTTGTTACACTGCACCCTGACTGGCTCATCTCCTCCTTGCGACCTTTCTGTAAGGGGATGTCCAATTGCCTACAGATGGGCTTTGGGTCCCCACTTCGCACTCCCCCTCATTCACAATGATATGATTTTATGTTCTTTGATGTCTGATACTTCATCCCTTCGACACCTCATGATCACACAGGCTGGTGTGCTTCTTCCATGTGGGCTTTGTTGCTTCTCAGCTAGATAGCTGCTTGTTTACCATCTATTCTTTAAGACCCTAGATGCTATATCTTTTGATAGCTGGACTCCATCAGCTTTCTTCGCCACATTTGCTTATGCACCCTCTCTGTCTTCAGCGATTGTGTGCGGAAGGTGAGCATCACAGAATGCCAGTTAAATAGAACAAAGTATTCTTGCATTGAGGGAGTACTTGAGTGGAGGCCCAATGTCCAACTGCTACTTTAATGCTAAGCCTATAAATATATGCACATAAATCTATTTCCCCATCCTTACATATATTTACATGTGTACATGCCTTTATTTAGACCTCTATGAATGCCCTTTGCCTCCTAGCTCTTTCCTCTGTTTTACTTTCCTCTTGTCTCACTATCATGCTCAGCCTTCATTTGGGTTTCAGTAATTCCCCTTGGTTACATTATCCTTGATCACTCTCTACCAGGCCTCGTACACCCTCCTCACCACCGATTTGGATCACTTGCTGTTTCCCTGTCCCTGGGTTTGTTAACACCACCTCCTTTCCTCACAACCTTCCCCTCTCTCCTGTGTCCCCCCTCCGGAACTTTTGGTCCCATTGTTTTCTCCTCCAGATTGTTCATCTAGCCTATCTTATTTAGACAGACCTGCGGAGATAATAACATGCACAAAAACAAGACGGAGCAAAATCAAGCAACAAAACATCAACAAAAAGTCAATGACAAACAAAACAAAACAAAAAAATCCACAACATTGCCAAAAAGAAAAGCTTGTAGTTAGTTCAAGGACTGTTTGTTGGCCTTTAGGAGTGTTTTCCGGTCGAGTCTGATGGGGTGCCAAGCCCTGGCCCCAAAGTCTATTTTTGGTACTCCCCGGGGACTTCATTGCTCTGTTCCCCTTGCTGTTCCGTTGCTTGCCCTTGGTGTTTTGCCTCGGTGTGATAGGATCAGATTGGGCGCAATTTCCACACTGTTTCCAGTGTGGTCCCCTGTAGGCCTATGGATCAGTGAGAGATGTTGTGTCTCATAGTGGGGCCAGCCATGTGGTCTTCTCTGTGGATTGGCTGCCCCTAGTGGGAATCTCGTCATCAAGGCTTGGTGGGCCAGGATGTGCTCCACTCTCTCTTCCACCCCTTTCATCCGCTCCCGGGTGCTCTGCTCAGACACGTCCCTCTCTCTGAGTCACAGCCTAGGTGCTGTCCTCTGAAATAAGTTCTTCTGGGGGCAGGGGCAGCTGTCCATGTAGTTGGGACTGGGGCCGGCCCCTCAGACCTCTCCACTGGTTCCCTACTCCACGCCAGCATATTGCATTCACGTCTTGGAGCACCAGGTTGAAGTCTGGTCCCTCTTTCCCTGCGGAGATATAAACAATACCGCCCCCTTGGGTGGGTTAGTGCTCTGTGGTTTTTTTTTTATGACAAGAGTATCAAATGTTTATTTATTATGTAATTTTTGCTTACAGTTAAAATTTTTTCACATTTGTATTTTTACACATAAATGCAATTTTAATTTTTAGTCTTTTAAAAATTAAAGTTTATATATAAGGATGTTTGTGTTTTAAAAAAACATTTTACTGGGAGTTAATATATATTAAGAGTTATATATCATCCCATAGTTCAGTCACATCGAGCAGTATTGCACAATTGGTACCACAATCAGTTTCAAAACATTCTTTTCCTTCTTTTTTTAAATCATTTTATTGGGGGCTCATACAACTCTTATCACAATCCGTACATCCATCCATGTGTCAAGCCCATTTGTACATTTGTTGCCATCGTCATTCTCAACACATTTTCTTTCTACTTGAGCTCTTGGTATCAGCTCCTCATTTTTTACCCTCCCTCTATTGTTTCCCTTCTTGAACTCCTTGGCATCAGTTCCCTGTTACCCCCCTCCCACCATTCTACCCCACCAGAAACCCTTAATCCACTTGCTGTCCTTATAGATCAGTGATTCATTTTCCATTTCTTCCCAGGGAAGTTATTACTACTGGAATTCCTAGCAGAGTGACGAACATCTCTGCTGTATCTGGAGTCAGAATTCTGTCTCAGAATCCTGCTTTATTCTTTTGACCTGTGTGTCCATGGGAAAGTCACTTGACCTCTTTAACCTTGTATTTGTCATTCATTCGTGTCTGAGGGGGGCTTAAAATGTCATAGAATGATTGAGTGAAAAGATACTGGTATTTTTCCATGAACTTTCCCAAGCCATATATCTAAACAAAAGGCCCACCTTCGGTGCCATTGAGTTGATGCCAACTCAGAGTGACCCAATAGGAGAGGGTAGAACTGCCCCTGGGGGTTCTGAGCCTGTTCTTGTTATTGGAGCAGAAAGCCCTGCCTGTCTCCTGAGGTGAGTGGCTGGTGGCTTCAAGTTGCTGATTTTGAACTTGGTAACCCAAAGAGTAGCCACTAAGCCACTAAGGCTCCCAAGCCACATATATAAGGCATACACACACATATGTACTCATCCCCACATATGGATGCAAATCAAACATTTATGCATATGTTTAACAAGAAATATAACCCAGATATACATTTTTATGTGAAGTTTTAAAAGTTGTTAATTTGTGCCATCTATACATTACCTAAGAAAAAATTTGAACAGTTTTATCTGTACTCTAAAATTGATTTTGATCTTGACTTTTAGGTGTTACTGTGGACGATTGATTGGAGACCATCCTGGAGTAGATTATCCCTGGACTGTCTCATCCGCCCACAGAGGTGAAGATGAAGAATGGTCCGTGGAAAAACACACAACAACAAGCCCCACGGATACCTTTGGCACGATTAATTTCCAAGATGGGGAGCACACCTACCATTCCAAGGTTTGTGATAAAACAATTGTTCCATCGGCTTTTAGCAAAAGGAGTTTCTAAATGTGCTACTATTGCCAAATGTAGACAATCAAACCTGGTTTGCAAATGTGAACAAATTTACGGACCTGTGAGAAAACAAAAGATGGCTCTTTATATTTCCTTTGGGTCTAAGGGCATTGTTCCTTTCCAAGTTGCTCTGCAATCAGATTTTATCTGACCTATTTTGGCAAGTGTCTACTCCCTACTTCTCCAGAAGAGAATTACCTGTTCTTGAGGCAATTGTATTGTGATGTACCGAGGAGTCTTTTTTTAAAAAGGAATGCAAGAAAAGCGAAGAGTGTGGCTTTAGCTGAGGTATAACAATGACGGTACTTTATAGCCAAGCACACCGTTCCAAGTGTCCTTGGAAAGGTTATTCTAGGATGGAAATAAGGGAATTTCCTTCTGTACTTGACCTTTTCAGTCCAGTATTTCTACTGTCCTTAACATACTAATTTTGCATGTGATTTGCATAATATTAAAATGTGTTTTCTCTTGAGCCTGTTAACCACCTACTGCTTTATTTAACAGAGATGGGTTTTCATGGGGTGACTGCAGGTGAATCTCATATCAAGAATGCTTGAAATCACCTGGTACCATTTGCTCAGATGGATTTGAAACAATAGTTGTAAGGAGTACAATCACCACACATAAACTTATCCTACTATCGAATAGTTATCAGTGTTCTTAGATTTAATTTCATTTGTTGATATTTTCTCTAAAATTAGCAGGTAATCTTTCCTCATTTCCCCTTCCAATCGTTTTTGGGAGCTGGCTCTCAGAGAATCCTGGATGCAATTTTTCCATTCTGTTGGAGTCTTCTTTTTGCATTTGTGCTTAATACCATCATCTTCATTCATTCATTCACTCATTCACTCATTCATCAACAAGTTTTACACACTGCTCTCCTCCAAGGAGCATACGCCATCCCAGGTGCCGGTACTGCTACTAGCTGAGCCGGGAAACAAATACCCAGTTTGCACAGATGGCGAAGATGCTGAAAAGGGAATTTGGGATGCTTAGAGTGCATTCAGAGGGTTCCTCCTCTTTTTTGGCATGGGGAGGAGAATGAGAAACCATCTGGACATTAGAGCAGTTAAGCTGAGATTTTAAAGACAAGGTCAATGTATGGTTAGGCAGAGAGGTGAGGCCACTCTTGACACAAGGAATAAAGGTCAAGGGAGAATTCGAAACATTGAGGAAAGCTGAATATATGGTTAGATAGATCTCTTGGTCATTAATGTGCCCTTACGTACTTGAAAGCATTTTATTTAATCTTGTATAAGCCATCAGACAATCATGCAGATTTAGATCATAATCATATTTACTTCATGCTTATGTTGAGCTATGGGAAAGTTTGCAAGAGTTGTACTCTCCCCCCTGATGCATTCCTTGTGTAGGTTTTCGCCTCTCAA